CGCCAAAAGTACCCTCGTTGTCCAATACTACAGCAAGGTATCTCACGGTCTTCCCTGATCTGAAAGACTATGCAGCCTCTCTTGATCCTTGGGCCGCGCAGAATGATGGACTCTACCTTCTCTGGAGCCAACCCAAGTTTGTCGTCCTTCATCCAGCGATCGATGTCTGCTAGCGCTGTATTGGTCACCCGTATTAGTGTCGTTTCGTCTATCGCATCTGCTGTCACACCTAGGTAGGCTGCATATCCCATAGTTTTAACGTTTCTCGCTAGAGCGAGCGTCACATATGACAGTGACACCAATGACAATTCACTTGACATTCGAAAGTTGACATGACAGCTGACGTGACGTATAACCAATACCACGGAGACGTGTTGCCACTCAAAATGCACCGATTTATCCTTCTTTTCGCGTATGTATTTTGTGGATAAGTGACATAAAATTCCGACGCTGTTCCAACAACACACCGCATGCATTTGAGGTCCCCATCAGAACGTCTCGTAGATATCCTGTTTACAGTTTGACATTAGCTTGTCCAGACAAGAAGTGTGACATGAAAATCCCCTTATGAAGATGAGTTCAAAAGGGTTGACGTGAACGCTGTGTCTATGCACGCCTGACAGAAATAAGTACGACCATCCTAACATATTTTTTTCAACAAACTCCTCGGAAACATTTAACCTCGGCCGTCATGATTTTTCACTGGAAGTCGATTACTTCGCCATATCATTCGGCGTTCACGGTTTTTGGCAAGTGAATCACAGCTTTCAGCTTTTATTCGATTTGACCTGCCGACAGTCACCATCGCATCGCCTGGCTAACAGTCGTTATTACAGGCTTCCTTTTCATTTGTATTTATCTATTTATCGCGTCGTTCCAGGAAATACGGCTTCGGCCGTAATGTGATTATTCGGAAAGTTAGCAGGCCTACAACGTTTATCATTCCTATCGAATTTCGTGGACGGCAGCGATAGACCAGAACATTTGGAATTTCAGAAAAATAATTTTATAGACGGATTTTACAAACGCATAACACTTATAAGAGTAAAACGGTCTTCATTTAGAGATACAAAAACATTTGCTGGATAAAATGATTACTAATGTCAATAAATTTAAAAGCTATGTATTCGTATAAGTGATTCAAGAATAAGGTTAAAGCCTCAAATTGATCAAGAACTAAATAAATATGTAATTGATAGCTTGGGGTTACTTATTGATCTCTTTTATCCAGCAATGTTACCGCTGCAACAAATTCAACGTCAACTGTCTCCTTTTAAAAGTCTTTTTATTCTCTACTACTGATCTCTAGACCGCATAACCGACACTTCATAGTTTGGTGAATATACGCTAAAAAGTCAATTTTAACGTTCATTGGAAAAATAACCACAGCAAAATTCTTTTCATCTCCAAATGGGATCCATATTATGATGCAATTTCGTCGTATATAGAATTTTTTATATATCTATCTGTTTTGACTAGTTTCCTGGTCTATATAGAATTTAGTGAATGGTAGAGTGATGGAACTCAGCGGGGTATCGAGAGAGTTGCCTATGTGTCTAATTAAGACCTCAAGGACAATGCGACCATGCTGAAAACCAAATCCGTGTGACTGGTGAGTTACCGAATAATAATTTTTATTTTTAGAAGGTTGGGTACGGATTCCTAGAATGTCATTAACTTTTTGATTGTCTTTGAATTCGTGATATATCGGAGTAATAATTTTGTGTACTAGACATAATTATATTTTCGCTTGATGTGTCGTTACTAATCCGAACGATTTCAAAAATGATTCTATAATATTTATTAACTGTCTAATATACGCCCGCCCACTGGATAGAATTTGTGGACAATTTTTTTAGCATGTATATTTTGAAATGGTACGCTGTTACTTGCTGTGACGTTTGACATACGCGAGACCAGTGAGATTAATATAAACAAGTTTTTGCCTAAGGATAGAGCGAATAGAGGTTTTTAAAATTTTGATGACACATCTGACAAAGTTGTGTTAGTACATATGAGATATTTTTAACCAACTCATGGAAGCTATTGAGTGAGAAACGTAATTGTAACTTCTTAAATTGTTTATATAGCGGGAGCGTGTATTTTGAATCTTTGCAACCTGTATTTTGTTATTTCATCCAGACAGGGAAAATAAACAATGTTGCAGTAAGCTATTTTACTCAATACCAAATACCTCTAATATAGTTTTATTTACATTTAGAAGTCTAGTCTGAGATAAGTAGACCTACACGCACGGCTAACACGCTCCAAGAACCTTACATCTTCATCCAAATATAAACCTAAATTCTTTGCATAATGGGATAACGTAAGTAAGGTATTATTGATAGATATGATTAATTTGTTTATTTGAGAAAAGCATGCTTTTTGTTGCAGCAAAAAAATATATCACGGAAGCGTTTGATCAGCTGTGGCACGTTGCCCTCTTATGCAAACTTCCATCTTATGTCCTCCCAGATGTGTGGCTGACTTTATCGCCGGCCGCAAGATATCCATCGTAATTGACGGGTTCTCCTCTTCATCCCACAACGTCAACGAGGGTGTTCCCCAGGGATCGGTCTTCTCTCTGATACTGTTCCTCTTAGATATCAACGACCTCCTTTCCTGTACGATCAACCCTATCCACAGCTTCGTTGATGACCGCACTCTACATGCAGGAATTCAGACTGAAAAGCCGATATCTGCCGCTGAGCTGGAAACCTGGAGGTTATCACCGCTTGGGGACACAACAATCTTGTATAGTTTAATGCTTCTAAAACAAAGTACTGTACCTTGACGAGCAAAAAGCGTCCTAGCACTCATCCGGTTTCAATGGATGGCCGAGTTCTGGCAAAGAGCCGTTCATTTCGGCTGGTTGGAGTCCAGATCACCGAGGACCTGATCTGGCATTAACACATCTCGTCAATAGCGCAGCTGCTGGGAAAAAGCTAGGCTGTTTGTTTAGGGCTAATAAGTACTTTTCTCCGTATGACGTTCGTACTCTATACAAGACCCAGATAAGGCCTAGCGTCGAGTATAGCTCACACGTTTGGGGTGCTGCCGCTCCGACTACATTACGTATGCCCGATGCTGTCCAGAGGAGGGTTGTTCGACTGATCGATGACTATTCTCTAATGGACAGTCTTAGGACCCTTTCGCACCGGCGAGCCTTTGGCGATCTAACTCTCTTCTACCGCTACATCAACGGGCTCCTCATAGCTCTCTTCCATGATGTTGCCGTGCGATGTGCCTGCCAGACAGACCAGCCTGACAACAAAATTTCCTTGGGATGCTCAAAGTCAAACAGTCAAATCCTATGTATTTACATATAGAAATCAAAAGCTCATGATGCAGAGTGTCAAAAGCCTTACTAAAGTCTAGTAAGACTAATTCAGGCAAATTGCTGCATTCAATACTCATTCAACAATGTAAACAATTTTTTCGAGAACTTTGGATAAAATGGGCTGAGCTCACCAGGTAGTAGCGGATTGTAAATCTTGCAATAATGCTTCCTTTCATGTGAGAAAGCACCTCGCTCAAAACAATAATTTATATATAGGGTAGCCCAACAATATTCATTTTCAAACCACAATGATCTGAAAATGCATTCTACTTCAGCCTTACCGGAGGCACAATTACTAAATATATTATCTAGACAGACCCTTGTCATGTGTGGGTTCGTATATACATATATTGCGATACACTTTGGATTTTTAAATTGAAACTTTACAACAATTCAAGATCCGTATAAACTTTATTATATAAGTATAAGTTACTATACTGAAAACTTCATAAAAAATCTAAAAATTAAAAAAAATCGGGGTTTCCATTTAAAAATTTAAAGTGTAATGTGTTGTGATATCTAATTTTTGGATCACCCTGTATTGTACGGCTATAGATTCCCCTAGAAATCAAAATTGACGTGTCCGAGCCTTTTCCCCAAGGTACACCAGGAGAGTGTCACAAATAGGGGTGCAACCTTTTCATTGGGCCACCTTGAAGGTACCATTGAAATTCACAAAAATGTAAAATGGTAAACATTGCAACCACTGGCAAAAAGGTTTCTGCCAATTCATGTGTTCCTGGTTTTCTTACTCCAAACCGGACTAGTCTTACACCCGTACTATCATTTCTGGACTTGCTAAGTATTGATAAAGGTCAAATCGTGAAATTGTCACGCTTACAAATATCCAATTTGAATCGTGCCAGGTCTGGGTGACACAATTTTTAGAAACTACTAAAAACATGCTTTTTTATGTGTTTGTACAAATGTTTAGTGCCTCTTTTTATGAAAATAACGTGTTATAATGTATATTTATCAATAAAAAGAGTAGGTATTTGTATATTGTTATACCAGTTACGTATACAGAAATTTGTTGATATTTGTAGTGAAAGTCGGGAATGGAGCACTCAGGGGAGCATACATTTTCTCAGTTTTCGCGAATATTGTGCCAAAATCTCGGTTTCCTTAATTTCATCATAATGTTCCTAATAAAGCATATTTTACACCATTTGGATGGTTTATTTCCGCAATTTGTTAGTTTACATTTTTGGCGGAGCATTGCTTATTTTTATACGTCTGTATGGATTTGACGATCCCGATTAAAAATGAGAAAAACCGATATTTGAGTATGAAGAACGTTAACAACGACGATCGGAATCCGAATCCAGCTGTCACGAAAACCGGAGGCGGTGTAAACATTCCTTCAGCTTGTTCAAGGATGCCAACTTGAATGAACCTGCAGTGCTTTGAACTTACTACGGCATCGTAGCAACCCTTGAGCGCACCCCAAAATGCCGGTTTCCACTCTCGCCTTTTTCGTCTTGCTATTTTACTTTTGATTCGCCAATACCAAACAAAAATACAGGAACACGGCCGTATCGATCGATAGATTGCCGTGGAACATGTTGCATGCAAAGCGGAAAAACTACTACGAAACAATTAAAGTGCAGGAATTTATGAACGGGGGGTCGTGTGGGAAGAAAACATTGATGATTCATACCGTTGTGCTCGGTGAAAATGTTGGAAATGGGCTGCCGTCCATCTTTTGCTAGCCTGGGTCTGCTCCTGGTGGTTCTAATGGAATGGGTTCCAGCGGTTAGAGTTCTTTCCTTGGTATTCTGGGCACCCATGACGAGGATGCATGCCCTTATTAGATCGTCGATTGTCACTAATTGCACCTCCAGAGGGTGGATTTTTTTACGTCCGCGACTCCCTATGCCGAACCCCTCATGCTATCGCGGCACGACACTGCACAAACGGACACGAAAATCTTTTTAATCAATCCATGATTGTAGATTTGAAGATAATACGGGAAATGTCTGTATTTTTGTTGTACACCGACCCCACTTTGCACTTCACGTCGCCATATTTACCGAAATGAATTCTGTCTCTTTCTAACGTATTGTTTTTCTGCATGCTGTGCATTTCGATTATCTAGTTCGCATCGTTGACGCTTGAGCGCACCTTTGACACGGCTTTGTGCGCCATCTATCCTCTGAGACAGGAATTAGGCTTAAATGTATTGACAAGTTAAGCAGATTTCAATCTAATATAACTTGCTTGTATTTAAAATCACCCCTAGATGTCACCGCCTCCAATGTTAAAAGGAACAAATCCAGTATGGATTGTTCGATATGCAATACGAATTTATTTTTACTTTGCTCTGCACAATGCACATAGAGTTGTAAAATTTCATAAAAAACAGGCAATGATATTTTTCAGTCTTTGGATCTGATGAATTGCGATATTGCGTTTGTTATTCTTTGATAGTTTTACTTTTCCCGCTCAAAGTACATGACGTCACTTCCTGTATTCTACGTTTGCGCATGCGTTCGACCTTCCGTACTTCGGCTTTTTGACACAAACGAAAATTTCTGCCTCTTTCTTTCACCAACTTCGGTCGAGGAAGGATATAAACGTAAGTAATGTCCCAATTCTATTGTATTTTATTAATTTAGCCTGTTTCTAGTAAAAATAAATTAAAATTCAGTACACTGCAAGGCAGTTGTGGCGAAGTATACAATAGTTAATGGTAGAGTTTCTACAAGTTTCGAAGTGATTGGGATCGCGAGAGGGTTTGCACGTGCATCAGAGATATGTAAAAAGAATGGTTTATTTCAGCTAAAACGTGTTATCAATATCTGATTTTGCCGGTTGTATGTTCTCTACATATCTTTTTATATTTCATATATTTTTCTCTTTCTGATAATCAGTGAGTGATTACTGTTCAACACTATGGAGCCCCTCATCTGTGTTTCTCCAGAATAATGAATAATATTCTGAAAAGTTTTTACTTCTTATATGACGCCTAATATTGAATCTAATTTCTTAGTTTCAATTTTTGTCATGCAGAATAACAGGGGGAAGCTTTTGAGGTTATGTTACAGCATGTGCTTTAGTTTCATCGTAGACCATTGGAAAATTACTGAGGCTTCTATGTAGTTTTTTGAAAATGCTGAAACTATTATTTACAATTATTACTAACGGCTAAAGAAACTAGTAAAACATTTTGTAAATTTTTGTCCCACTGAATTATTTCGCCTCCGTAAAGATCATATGGCCACTGTTGAAATATACTCGACTAGGCTCCTAGACCTTCCGTAGCGAAAGTTTTCCCGAAATCGTTGCAGAACACAAGAAAAACAATTAAAATTGCTGCCTTGACGTTCGAAATGACCCCGTCGGTACTAGAGCTGTTGAAAAAGTAACTATTCGTTACTCGATTACTCGTTACTCATAGATACTCCAAGTAACGTGTACATATCCGAGCACGAAATGATTGATTACTCGTTTCCGTATCCGTACGGGTATCATGTAAAAAACCTATAAAACATCATAACTAAACCTATAAGATGTCCTCTACAGTTTGTAGGCTCATATAAGTCCTATGACACCCTATCCTATAATATAACCCATCTCGATTCACATAAAGTTTGAAGATATGATGTTTGCATTAAACATGGCAGATTTGAATAAACTATGCTCGAAACATTTTGAAAATTTTAAGATTGTCTATTACAAGATTCGATTCCATTGAACGTGTTCAAATTCGACGTTAATTACAAGACGTACGTTACCAAATCGTTATACTACTCATAGTAATGAAAATAATGGATACAATAAATGATTACTTTGTAGAAGAGTAACAATTAGTAATGAGAATCAACACCTCTAGTTGGTACCCATGGCTAGACATAGTACGTTTTGGCAGCTGACCTTGTTATTCTTGACGCTTTGCTACCTTTGCTATTTTCTTTGAATGTTATAAAAAAGCTTTGAATAAAATATTAAGGAATACCAATGGAGAAACATACGAGGCATAGTGATGTTTACCAAATAGCTAAAGGTGATTCCGATAAATATTCTTGGTGTACATACAAAAACAAACAAAACAAGACTTATTTTATGAAAATTTGTATTTTTATGAATTGTTATCAAATTCTTATTCATTTATATCTTGTGTTCACAATTTGCACATAAACATAAAACAATTATTTATATTGTAGATTCCATGTATGTATATGAATAGTGTGTGCCTAAGTATTTTGGGGTAACATCAAGATTAGCATATTTTGATATTTAAATTACAGTAAAATACTATGCATATTAATAAAAATAATGCATTTAACAAAGATCTTAACTTAGGATGAATATGGTAAAACAAACTAAAAATATAAATTTTTGTATAAATTCATTATGGATTATTTTTATTATTATGCATAGTATTTTACTGTTATTTAAATATCAAAATATCATGCTACTCCTGACGTAACCCTTGACTTCCAAGCTATCAAAGCTCAGTGTTTTCCATACAAAATATCCCCTAACTTCACAGCAGTGCAAACACTATGGAATGTCAAAGTTCTTCTCTCATAGAGGCTTTTCAAAATATACTTATTTATGTTAGGATACTTCATGTGAAAAATATGATTGTGTCATGTAGATATCAATCACCGTTTGTGTTTGTTCGTGATAAATTCTCTTAAAAAATTGAAATACATTGTGTTGTATCATTCCAGAATGGCGGACTCAGCTCCAGCCGGTGGTCGAGGTGGCTTCCGTGGCGGATTCGGCGGTGGTGGTGGTGGACCAGGAGGCGGTAGAGGTAAGATCATTTCTTTTTTACTGATGAGGATTTGCAATTGGATTCATATGCCCGCCAAAGGGCACGGAAGTGAAGTAAAAGTCGTCCTTCTAAACACAATCAAATGAGTACACGAAACTGAAGTGGCATGTCACTTTTGATGGGTGCAAATGAGAAATATGCCGCGGTATGAAAAATCTTAACTTCAATGAGAAATGTGAGAAGAGAAATACATTACAATAGGTAAATTGTAGATACATACGTACACAGAAATAATGATGAGTATCAATATTATGACCCCTAACATAAAATTGTTTGGACATTATCTAATTTATCTTGAAGTTTGTTCATTTCTTTAATGTTACAAAACAGTATTTTTCCTTTATAAGACAAGGCAAATCAATATTTGACTGACACATAAATGTCAATTAATTATGGCTTGTATAGTTTTAACAAGGTTTTCGCAGTCTTCCGCCTTAAAAGAATCCCATAGAATTTGTAATTTTACTCGTTTTGTTGTGGATCATTCCTTAACTGCAGCTTCATTTTGCGCCATGCAGTTTTGATAATATTTAAATCAGAACTACTGGAGGGCTAGTCAAGGGTGGAAATGTCCTGCAACTATTTTTTCGTAATTTTGGCCATATGACGTGACGCCCCATTTTGTTGAAAAATAAAGTTTCTGTCAGGTGACAAAATTGGAATTGAAACTAGCAAATTGGTTTCAAGGATATTTTGATATTTATCTGTGTTTACAGTTCCGTCTATGAAGTGAAGTTTTCCAATGCCAAAAGCAGATATGCTTTCCCATACCATCAAACCTGATGGAAACTTTACTTTTCTCCTTAGGCAGTTTTTAGTTTAAAAATTATCACAGCCATCAGCAATTTGTTATTGAAGATATTATATCTATATATTGAGAAGACAAAACTACCATGATGAATGCCTTTTTATTCTTTCGCGGTTTCCACCAGAAGGGCGTTACGCCCGAATGTTGGCTTAGAATATCTGAACCACCAAAACAACAGCACTACCGCCAAAGCTTATCCTTCAAATCATTGAATCATTGAATTGCTTGAAGGTGGTCGTGGAGGACCAAGAGGACGAGGCCGTGGTCGCGGCAGAGGACGTGGACGTGGCAAGGAAGACCAGAAGGAATGGGTGCCAGTTACCAAACTGGGACGCTTGGTTAGGGACGGAAAGATTAGGTCCTTGGAGGAGATCTATCTCTTCTCATTGCCCATCAAGGAGTATGAGATCATCGATTTCTTCATTGGATCCGAGCTGAACGATGAGGTAGGTATCAGGACCACATTTACTGTGGCTGTATATCATATAAATAGTAACTTAGTATATCAAAATATGTTTGGAAGTAAATATAATGTGAAACTAAATACTATATTTTCCATATCTGTGATGCCTAAAAATACCTATGGATAGTTTGCACTTTTTGTTACTATTAATTCTAAACACTTATATGATTCTTACATAAATTGCAGGTTTTAATTGTAACGACCCCTAACTGATTACTGTCTAGAATCATCCTTTACCATGATGAGTGAATTTTTATTCTTTCGCGGTTTCCACCAGAAGGGTTTTACACCCGAATGTTGGCCTAGAATATCTGATTATTTCTCAAATACCCCTATCTATCTTTGTTTCCATATGAACACTATGTAAGGAAAGCTCAAACTATGTTCTAGGTGTTGAAGATCATGCCCGTCCAGAAACAGACGCGTGCCGGTCAACGTACGCGTTTCAAGGCCTTCGTCGCTATTGGAGACAGCAAAGGCCACATAGGTCTAGGCGTCAAGTGCAGCAAGGAAGTCGCTACTGCTATACGTGGGGCTATCATCCTTGCTAAGCTGTCGGTAGTGCCGGTTCGTAGAGGATACTGGGGTAACAAGATCGGTCAGCCACATACTGTGCCTTGCAAGGTAAGATTTACTAGTTTTGACATTGTATTTGGGAATCGGGTTATGGGGTTTTGATCAAAGTCTAACATTCAAGCAGTGTGCTAAAAAGTATAATATTGAAATTGACTTAAACCCTTACCTACCGTAGTGCAAAAAGTATAACGTCATTAACGTAATATAGTCTCAGTGAGCGCGCATGTCTAACAGGCCCAATTACAAAACATGAAATATTTTGCGTGTTGTAAATATTCAGGCAGAGTAGAATGAGAGAGAGAGAGAATTTTTACCATACCTATTAAAAAAAATTAAAACATCGGACATCATTCGCTTCCATATATTTTTACACCAATTCGTTACCTTAGTAAGCTATTAAACTAAACACAACATTCTATGTGAAATTAGTAACAGGTTCTGAAATATGAATAAAACATGTCCACTGAGGCATAAACTAGTCTGAGTGATAACTTGAAAGGAATAAAAAAAAAATACAAGGGGTGAAGGAGTCAAAGATTGTGTTTACAATTTTTACAAATTTTTGCTTTACTAAGAGCCATTTTTAATTGTTAACAACACCAATGCAGTTGAAAGTTGATTAAACGTCAAAAACCAGCTTCTTAGCAACGTATTTGTTTTACAAACCCAACCTTCATTTTATCATAGTGAATAAACACAATTCAATGTTGTCTCTATGTATTTTGCTGTACACAAATTATTTTGCAAAGAAAACAATTTCGAAATAAAAGCGTCTTGGCTTTGTTATCGTACCATAAGCATTTAAATAAACCAAAAATATATTTGATATAAAATTTTAATTAGCCCTCAAATAAATTCACAAATGTTTTGAGGCGTTGAGCCAACGTCACTTAAGAGCTCTTAATTCAATTTCAAGTCCTCTCAAAGTTAAATTGATTTGTTGTCCTCTCAACTGTGCATCACTGCTTAACTGTAAGACATGTTTCAAATGATGAATGACTATTTTTCTTTCGCGGTTTCCACCAGAAGAACTTACGTTCAAATGTTGGCCTAAGAAATCTGATACAATCTGTTTAAAAGATGTACGTCATACCAAGGGCGTCTTAGATCTAAAAGTTTGTAATCGTTTCAGGTAACAGGCAAGTGTGGTTCAGTAACCGTACGTCTGATCCCTGCTCCCCGCGGTACAGGCATCGTGTCCGCTCCGGTTCCAAAGAAACTGCTCCAGATGGCCGGTATCGAAGATTGCTACACCTCCGCTCGGGGTTCCACTGGTACCTTGGGTAACTTCGCCAAAGCTACGTACGCGGCGATCGCGAAAACGTACGCGTATCTCACTCCGGACTTGTGGAAGGAGATGCCTCTGTCCAAGACGCCGTACCAAGAGTACGCCGATTATTTGGCGAAGAATCACAGATCTGTCGCCGGATTGGCCAGAACGGAAGCTAGCTAGATGTTGTGTCTAGTTGTTCAAATAAAAAAGTTAATGATGAGTCATGCGTTTTCTTTATTAATGCTCCTACGGAATTAGTCAAATGGAAAAGTTGAAAAAGTTTTACTTTTTCGCTGTCGCTGTACATTGACGTTTTCAAAGAAGCTGTTATGTCAAGCCCCACGAAATTAAATCGAGAATTTTTTTTATAGACGGTTCTTCTCAAGCTAAGCCAATATGTAGGAAGATTATTTCAAAAATATGGTTCCCAAGGTCGAAACTGCCGAGCGAATTGACGCTTTTTTTTATAAAGAATATAGTGGTGTTTCCTCCTATTTTTAAAACGCATTTATTAGATTGGCCTGTATGTATGAAACCGAATCTTTGAGCATAATTTTCAGCAATTTCCAGAAGTTTGATTAATCTGAAACTTCGCTCACGTATCAAGGACCGATGACACTGCAATAATTTGATAAAAGTTTTACATTATCCTTAGGATCGCCAGGATTGATAAATTCTTTTATACATCTTCTGTCGGGGAGTGAGAGAGATAGAGCTAGCGTTTTGTTGGTTTAGGCACGGCACACCACAACGGAGGCAGATACTTTTTCAAGGTAGTGCATTCGCACCTTGATACCTTGGACATCCGTAGGTACTAATGAGTCGAATTACGCGTTCAGATGGTGTGCGCATGATTAAACCGATATCGATACAGTTCCCAGCGAGTTTAAATTACAGTAGTAGATGGTCGAACAATCAATCATAATTAATGACCTCAAAATAAAATTTAAGTTATTAACAGAATAATTCAATTCTGAGTAAAAAGCGTGGGGTCCTCGATAATATTAAATGTTACAATCATTCTATCGGCAACTATATATGAGAGGAGAGTTATGAAAATATATTATTTTTATTCTGAATAGAATTATTCTGTTAATAACTTAAATTTTATATAATTTTATTTTGAGGTCATTAATTATGATTGATTGTTAGACCATCTACTACTGTAATATAAACTCTTTGTTATTAAAAATTATTTTCTACTTGTTAGTTCGGTTAGCTATAAAAGCGTGTCCTTTTCAGTTTTTTAAATTATTATCTATTTAATTAATAAATAAAATTAGTTTTAACGTTAGATAATCGACACTGACGAGCCACCAGTGTCATTTATCATCATTGGCCCCTTGGAAAATTAAGTAGGTTCGTCATTCATCCATCACCATAAATTAGTAATGTAAGGACACTCATCATCTTGACATTCAGAAAACATCAGAGATAACATTTTTAATTCGGCTAAAGGTTACAGTCTACGTCTATAGGGATTTCAAAGCACGAATTATCATATTGACTATATGTAGAAACCTTCCTAGCCTGATTCTCTAGAGATTGAGCTTCCTCCAATTTCCAGCATAGTGCATCATCGTAGAAATGTTCTTGTGAAATTCCTTCGTCCATCAGTGTTAGTAAAAATCCTGTAAACAGAAAATAGATTATTGGTTTAAGTGAGGACAACTATTTTTTGATGCATGTTCTAAAAAGCTAACGAGTTTGGAGACATCTTACAGGTATTTCAAATTCCGTTTTCATAAAGTTATAAATCACACCCTTACGTGCAATTTTTTTAACTAATGGAAATATAGAACTTATTTTACCACTCATTTTAGAACTGTCGCTTGTCCAATTCAGTTTTAACGCTAATGCAGTCTCAACCTTCCTCTACACGACGCTTTAAATTGCATCGTGATCGTCGGGTCGGATTTGATATGCAATGATATGGAAAGAGGGGTAAAACGGGGGCCCAGAGGTCAGGCACGTCGTTCTAGTGATAACCTTCAGGTCTCTCGTCATAGAGGAAGTCGTCGCTAATCTTCTTTTTTCGAGCTTGGCGACAGAGATCGACTTTTCACTATGAATTCCTGCACGTAGAGTGCTGTCATCAGTGAAGATGTGGATTGCGTGCATCGTCCAGGAAAGGAGATCGTTGATATGTATGAGAAACAGTGTCGGAGCCAAGACCGATCTCTGGGGAACACCCGCGTTGGCGTTGTGGGATGAAGATGAGAACCCGTCAATTACGACAGATACCCATTTGCAAAGCTTTTCTAGGAGGCGATAGGATGGAAGTTTGCATAAAAGGGCAGCGCGGCAAAGCTGATCGACACCTTAAACACGTTGTTACAAAAACTGTGAGTCTTAAAGACGTCTTTGTAATACGCTCGTAAGGTTTTCAGTGCGGCATAAAAAAGCCAATAAAAAACGGGCGAATTATTAAAAAACGTTTTTATTAAATAAAAAATATTTTTTTGTGTGAGGCAAGAACTTTTCCCGCGTACGCTACGCTCTACGACTTAAAAAAGACTGGCACAAAGGACAAATGGCATTGACAGATACTCGAGCTAGGGATGTTGCAGAGGTTAGTGTAGAGATGTGCTAGTTTTAATCGACTCATCGTCATCTGGTGGCGATTTGATGAGTTAAAACAGGATGATGCAATGAAGTTTAAAAGATTCCAGAAAAAGACAATTGGTGTTTATTGAGAAATAAACTACAACGACTTGTCCTTTCGCATAGTTTAAATATATATATATATATATATATATATATATATACAGGGTGTTCCATAATTATTGCGACAAAATGATAGGGGTTGTAGAGGGCATAAAAATATGCAATTTTGCCTTATAAACCCCTGTTCGTAAATATGCCGTTTGAGCACTACCGCTAATTTTAGCTTAAGAGAGACGAGCCTCGCGAATCTACGCCCAATGGTTTCCAGAATGTCCTCATAAGCATCACGCCATTTTTGCAAGGATTCATTGACGTATTTGTGTCAGTGGCAGCATCAGACACCTCGCGGAAGCAGGACGGCCATTCACGAAGCGCACAGTAGATTTTGAGGAAACGATTATGCATCATGTAGAGGCCAATCCGCGTACAAGCGTGCGTGCTATTGCACATGATCTGGCAGCATCTCAAACTACTGTTTGGCGGGTTCTCCATGACCAGCAACTACACCCAAACCACCTTTTAAAAATCCAAGCCATGGGTCCAGAAGACTATCTGCCGCGTCGACGTTTTTGTCGTTGGTGGCTGCAGCAGAAGTTGAGGCAACCAAACTTTGGTCGTTACGTTTTGTTCACTGACGAGTCCTGTTTTACAAAGGACCGTTATTTTAATAGCCGTAACAGTCGCATTTGGGATGAAGAAAACCCTCAAGCCATAGCCATCCATAGAGACCAACATCAGTTTTCAATTAACATCTGGTGGGGCATTGTGGACGAGCATATCATCGGGCCATATTTGCTTCCACCACGTTTGGATGGGCATGCTTATGGTCGATTCTTACAGCATGTGCTACCGGAACTATTAGAAAATGTGCCAATGAACATAAGAGCCAACATGTGGTTTCAACACGATGGCGCTCCAGCCCACTTTTCTTTACAAGTGCGGCAGTATTTGGACGACAAATTTCCAAATAGGTGGATAGGCCGAGGTGGCCCTGTGCCTTGGCCTGCGCGGTCACCCGACCTGACCCCACTGGAATGTTTTGTTCTGGGGCCATCTGAAAGCTTTAGTATATGAAACTCCTGTTCCCAACCAACAAGAGCTACTGGGAAGAGTGATGGCCGCGTCCGCACATATTCAGGACATACCGGGGGTATGCCACAGAGTTCGCCGATCATTGAACAATCGTGCACAGCTGTGTATTGAACTAGGTGGAGGACACTTTGAGCAATTACTGTAGGTAAGCCGTTTCAAGAAACTGATGTTTTTTTTTTGCTGCAGCCCAAACGGCATATTTCCGAACAGGGGTTTATCAGGCAAAATTGTTCATTTTGATGCCCTCTACAACCCCTACCATTTTGTCGCAATAATTATGGAACACCCTGTATATATATATATATATATATATATATAGGTCTTAAAAAAGTGATATACAGTGCTTTTCTCTAATGTCAACCTCCCCTTTGATTTTTTGAAGCATATTTTAGAGTAAAATTGACAGATGAAAATGTCAAGATGACCGTTGGGCGCCATTTTGGAAGAAAAATTATACGAAAACGGGGGTCTCGTGGCACATCATTTTGAAGCTCCTGACGAATACTTTATAATCCTAGAATATAAAGTCTATACCTACTAAAAAATGGTGGTACATTTAATAATTACCTGAATACATTGACATTTAACTTGATAATTTTAATACCATTTTGTAGTAGGTAAAGTTATTGACTTTATATTGTAGGGTTATAAAGTACTCGTCAGCAGCTTCAAAATGATGTGCCACAAGATCCGCGTTTTCATATAATCTTTTTTCCAAGATGACGCCTAGCGGCCATCTTGGCATTTTCATCTGTCAATTTTACTCTAAAATATGGTATCCACGCATCAATTTCATTACCTCAAGTTTTAATTTTTTTAATAGATCCGTTCAAAAAATCAAAGGGAAGGGGGACATTAAAGAAAGGCACTGTATATTTTCAATCATGGTTGGGTAAATGAAAAAAATATATATGTATGTTAATTCAAAGTTTATTTAGATGTTCAGGATTGAGGTTTCTTATATGTTTACTAATATTTCTAACTTGTTAAGAAGCTGAAGAAAACGCCTTACAGGTGTTTGTTTTATGTCGTGTCAGGATGTTCTTGAAAACGTTGCAACTAGGGACATCTTAATGACGTCTTTTAAATTTTTCAGGCATTAATACATTATTAGTGCATAAAATGGACGTGTATAAGACGTTCTGTGCTATCTGAATAGTGACCAATAGGTAGACTTGCCACTTGACTTCCTTTACTGTAATAATACAATAAAAATCTCTTTGAGGTCCCAAGGGGCACAAAATTGGTAGAGACTCTGCAAAAAGCTCGTTTGTTACAAAAAATAATAAAAGTCCCGACGACAATCTTCGCCGGGCTATTCGTGAAGTTTTCCCGTTTCATTTCGTTAATTGCTTTCAGGAATCGTATGAGCTAAATTCTAGAGTAGCTCGAAGGCAGTGGAGTAGCATACAAACCTGTGCTCTGAGTAGGGTAACGCTTTTAATAATGAGTTGTTGACCCATATTAGTCTTTTTTACGATCAACCAGTTTCTCATATTCATTCAAATTCAAATTCCATGTTTAAAAAAATCAGCGTTTGCAATGGTAAATTCGTTTTTTAAATAAAAAAATCATTGTGCCTGAAAAAAATGAGAGACCATATTTTTGAAACAACCCTCGTACCTTATCTATCCAATTGATAGCGTTCATTCATCGAGATGTCCACGCTTTAAATCTTTGTATACTACGAGGGTGGTCTAAAAAGTTTTCAAGCTAGCAAAGATGCAAGACATCTTGTCTGATTTTTTTTATTTATCAACATAGTTTCCTTGTAACTCTACACACTTTTCCCAGCGATGCTCCCATCTCTGTATCCGGTCCAAGTAGTTTTTCTCTCCAAAATAATTGTTCACGAAGGTCTGCCTCTTCATTTGACGAAAATCTCCGTCCTCCGAGCGCAATTTTTAGATGGCGGATCGAAAAGAAGTCACTTGGGGCTAGATCGGGTGGGTAAGGTGGATCATTAAGCAGTTCAAACTGTAATTCGTGGATTTTGGCCGCTGAGGTGTGAGATGGTGCGTAGTCTTCGTGAAACAGAATTTTATTTTTCTGCAAATGCGGCTATTTTTCCGCGCGATCTGCCTTCATCTTGACAAGTAAAGACGCGAAGTATGCTCGATTGAGTTGAGTGCTGCTATCTTCACGTTGATGTCGGAAACTATTCAGACCTCCCTCGTAGAATATTTGAACGGTTTGTAAATTTACATGATCGACATAATAGTAGATTGGAAGTTTGTTGGCGAAAGAGATGTGTCACTAAAAATATATACAGTTACGAAAGGAACCAAGCTAAGGGTTTCCAGAGGTTCCGCCAATGATTTTGAGGGAAGGCAGCCTCTATGCGGATCTTTCCTCGTGTCCCTAGGGACAAAGTTGAGAGGGTTTGGGAGTCGTCTACACACACAGAGAGACAGTCGACTGTAGCTGGCAGAGATGATGTGCAAACACGACGAGAGTATGAGAGGTCAATTTTATTACGATTAAAATGTTGTTGCCTCCATGAAATCTGAAAATGCCTGCTAGTCTGAGGAATATGGCGCCGGGAAAGATTGTAAGAGGACAAAATATTTGGTGGAAATGACACGTCAAAAGGAAAACTCGACAAGAATATGGTTCGTGACGTGAAAAAAGCCTTGCATTTATTTTCCAGGATATCAGACGAAAAATAAACAGTAAATTTTTGAAATCTAACCTATTCAAACTTTAAGGGTGATATTGTAGGTTTTTAGAGGTTTTCCTCGCCTTATTGCGAATGTAATCATGGTATCCCCTAATAAAAAGAAAAGGAAACGAATGCAACAGTTAAGAACGAAAAATGAGAGTATGTACATTAGAAAATAATAGGTAGCCAGCGTAAATAGGGCATTGGGTT